GTGTGGGTCGGACGGGAGACAGAACAAAGCCGACCTGAGACCAGAGCAACCCAAATGGCAACCACCCCCACAAAAACCTCAAACTGCTAAACTCAAAAGACCCAAGCCACCTGCAGGCCTGCCAATCAAGTGCTTCCGATGCAGACAGAAGGGACATTGTGCAGCGAATTGCCCAGTCCCCTACCCCCAACAGCAGAATAGACCGGGACCAGTAGTGAGAAAGAAACCTGCCCAGCAGCCAACGAGAGAGAAATCCAACTGGATCACACAGGAATCTGTTACTCAAATCACATCTCCCACACAGTAGGACTCTGGGACTCAGGCTGGACCCATCCCAGCTCTACCCTCTTTCAACAGTGACAACAAAGGAGAGAATGACCTGATGGTGAGCTGACACATCCCACCTTTCTCACTACCTGCCAAACTCAATCCCTAAGTCAGGGGCACAGGTAGATTTAAAAGTGCTGATTCTGGATGCTCCCAATGCATCATTAGCTTACCATTTGCCATGAAAATGGGCATACAAGCAAAACTGCTCTCCAAACTGATGAGGTTTGAGCAAGCCGATGGCTCCCTGATGGGAGGGACTTTAGTCACGCAATTAACTGAGCCCCTACGCCTAGAAATAAGTGAGCACTGGGAGTTCATTTGCTTCCTGGTGGCTCCAAAAATGACTGAGGCTGTAATCCTAGGATTAGCCTGGTTGGACAAATGGAAGCCATTTATCTGGTGGGAGAAAGGAATGAGAACTGTGAGGCTACCTATAGGGCCTAAACCCCCCATTGATTCAACTGACATTACAGGAAACTTTAGCCCACCTAATGAGCAAGTGCACATGGCTACCTCACCACCACCAGGCAAGCCAGTCATCCCCAGTGAGTACCGGGACCTAGCAGAGGCATTTAGTGAGAAAGAATGTGATGCCCTGCCTCCTCACCGGCCCAATGATTGCTCTATCGAACTGTTGCTGGGAGCCAAACTCCCACGGCTGAGAATGTACGCTATGTCCCCCCTCGAAATGGAAGAGATGCAGCGATACGTGGATAAAAATCTAGCGAGGGGATTCATTGAATGGGCCAAGTCTATGGTGGGGGGCCCTGTGTTGTTTAAAGAAAAAAAAGATGGGTCTCTTCATCTCTGCATAGATTGTAATGGTCTCAACACTGTGAG